GTGCTGATCGCATTGCACCACTAGGGGGCGCTGTGCTGCAGGGAACCAGGTGGGGGGTGCTCTTCCCAGGCAGTCAGTGCTGATCGCATTGCACCACTAGGGGGCGCTGTGCTGCAGGGAACCAGGTGGGGGGTGCTCTTCCCAGGCAGTCAGTGCTGATCGCATTGCACCACTTGGGGGCGCTGTGCTGCAGGGCATAGTGGGCTCTGTCTTGTGGTAATGAGTTCCACAGTCCACACCCATCCCACACCTTGCTCTTCTGGGGTCCTGTCACTGGAACAAGCGACACCATTCCTCGGGGATTGCTAGGAGGACAACGAAGCTCCCTACTGAGTGGGGAGCCAGTGTAAGGTTGGGAGGGTCTGGAGGTGGGGGCCCAGATGGCTGGTGATGTGGGCTGCTCCGCTCTGTGCCACCCGGGCCATTCCTTGTCCCTTTGGTTTCAGCGTGGTAATAGCCTGGATCGGCGCGGCCAGATACGTGTGCGGCCTGGAGCCAGGGTCTAAGGGGAGAGCAGGTGCTGGCATCTGATTCCCTAGGCTTGATTCTAGCCAGCCACAGCAAGGATCCGTTGGGACTCCGGAGCTGGGGACTGTTTAGAGCAGGGGCGGGCAAACTTTTTGGCCTGAGGGCCGCATCGGGTTTCGTAAATTGTATGGAGGGCCAGTTAGGGGAGAGGGTCGAGGCCCAGCTCCACCTCCTATCTGCCCCCGCCCCCAGGACTCCTGCCCCATCCAACTCCCGTTCCCTGACGGCCCCTCTGGGACCCCTGCCCCATCCACACACCCCCGCTCCCTGTCCCCTGACTGCCCCCGGAACCCTTGCCCCTGACTGCCCCCCGCTGCCCTATCCAACCCCTGCTCCTTCCTGACTGCCCCCCAGGACCCCTGTCCCCATTCAACCCCCTGTTTCCCCCCTGACCCCTATCCACGCCCCCACACCCCCTGACCACCACCCTGGACTCCCCTGCCCTCTATCCAACCCCCCTGCTCCCTGCCCCCTTACCGCACTGCCTGGAGCACCGGTGGCTGGCGGCGCTCCAGCCGCACCACCCGCCTGAAGCCAGGCCACGCCACCACCACCACACGCAGCTCAGAGACCGGGTCAGCATTGCGCCGGGCTCTGCAGGTGCATTGCCCCAGGAGCTCACAGCCCCGCCGTCCAGAGCATTGCGCCGGCAGCGGAGCGAGGGAGCTGAGGCCGGAGGGGGACGGGGAACAGTGGGCGGAGGGGCCGGGGGCTAGCCTCCCGGGCCAGGAGCTGGGGGGCCGGGCAGGACGGTCCCGCGGGCCGAATGTGGCCCTC